TGTGTGTGTGTGTGTGTGTGTGTGTGTGTGTGTGTGTGTGTGTGTGTGTGTGTGTGTCTGTTTAAAGGTAATGAGAGCAACTTCCACCAAAGGACAGACTTTTATTGTCACACCCTTGGTTCATCTTGCACACATATACAGTACAGTTTCAATATAGTATTTACTTTCTTGTACAATCTACAATTGTAATGCTTGCAGAGTAGAACAGGTTAACTGTAACACAGAAAAACAAGCCCACACAAGCGCATATGACAAACAAAATCAGGTTCAAAATCATGTCAGACTGGAGACTGATTGGTTTTTTCTGAGCCTTTAAACCTGCAGCTGATTGCACTGTGTGAGTTCAAAGTGTCTAAGATTACGAGCTGATTGGTTGCTTGTAGATCAAACTGGCAGTTTGCATCCAGCTGTGAAACAACTGAGAGTGGAAATGAAAGCGGAGGAGAAGGAGAGGGAAAACACAATAAAGCCAAAATAACTGATGGAACAAATAATTTTCACGCTGTGAAAATTATAAATGAAAATAGAAACAAATGCTTTTTCATGTATAGTATGAAAAATGCTTACAATAATTGTTCTGCTATATTATTATTGTGTAGTATAAATGTTTGTTTAGCTGTAATCAACTGAAAAGTCACACCTCCATTCACTATCACCAGCTTCATTCACTGGGTTTTGCACCAAGACTCATTCACAACATATTTAAAACTTATCGAGTTAGCACAAAATCCTTTGGATTACCCGCACGACTCTTATCCAAAGAATAAAAACATAATACAAAAGCTGTAATTGTATACAAGTTACAGTATCTTATATAATAGCATGTATAAATGAAAAGAATAAAAATAAAGATGTTGAAAATACCATTTCCAGATGATATTGCACAGTGGATCACAAGCTGATTGTACTTTTCCATATTCAAAATTCCATCAATTTTCACAAGATCTCCAACACTACTGGCTGGAATTCTCTCCCAAACCACCACTGTCTCCAGCATGCTTTACAAATGGCTGTAGACACTCACTATTGAACCTCTCTCCTGATTGTTTCCATACATATTGACAACAGTTTGAATCAGAAACTTAAAATTTGTCCAGTCGTGGGTGCTCAAGAATGACTTTTCTGATGGCCACCCTTCCACGACACCTCTTCTGATGAGTCCTTTGCAAACAGTAGGTGGATCAAGTGATGGGACAGATTCATCTCTCAGCTCTTGTGTCAGATCTTTGTGGATTGTTTCCTATAGAGCCACTCAAGAAGTTATAAATCGAATAAGGCTCAAGGCTTATTCGGTGTAGTTCATAGCAAGAACAGAGGTGCAATGAAATATTTAGATTTCTGAAACAGTGGCACATTTTTTAATATTTCACTTTATACCAATTTCCCACACTTTTACCACAATGTCCATTTTTGTGTGCTTTCCTCACTTACAGTCAGAGATTACCAAAAAGGCAGGAGTACTAACAGGGAAAAATAACAATGGTCCGAAACTTGCAGTACATAAGGAAAATGATTCAATATGGCTCCAACAACTCTCCTTCAGGCTTTTAAAAGGTGTCAAGAGAGAAAGACGAGAATAAAAATAAGAAAGGGCAATTATTATCTCAACAAAATGAAATGAAACACAATAATCTCACACATCTAATTTTGGACATCTTGTGTTGTTGTGAACAAATGACGTGAACTTCACACACATTTTTTCCAAACTTGCCACACACACGCACACACACACACACACACACTCACACAAACAAGAAGCCCAGATGAAGACGTGCTGTTACTTGGCAGCTCATCTCTTCAGACACACACTGCTGGTTTGACCAAGTCCAGAGTGGCTGTAACTGATACTGTGGATTTAACACAAAGAGAGATAAGCTGGCTTCGTCTAATCTCATCTCTATCCTTTCCTTTCCCGCTCTCTGTCTGTCGGTCTTTTTCTGCTTCTTATACTCTTTCTGTCCCTCTCTCTATTATCCTTCCCTACTTTGTCTTA